GCACCGTGCTCGCCACCTGCTGCTGCTGCTGCTGCTGCCCCAGCCCGCCTGGCGGCATGCGCTTGCTGGCCGCCCTGCTGCTGCTGCCAGCCTGCCTCCTGGTGGCGCACACACAGACCCTCTCCCCGCCCGCCCCTGGTGCAGTACCTGATCAACGTGGGGTGGACCAGCGTGTGGGTCAAGGTGGTGAGCCAGTGGGTGACGGTGGGGCTCTACTGCTGGACGCTGGTGGCGCCGCAGCTCTTCCCGGACCGAGACTTTGCCTGAGGGGCGCGCAGCCGGCGCTGCCGCCCTGTGTACTAAGAGCAACCCTGCCCAACCTGTATAAAAATGCTGGCCACTCCCTCCCGCTGGCTGTTGCGCCTCGATTAGCATGCAATAGCATGCGATTACGCGCGTGCGGCAGCAACCAGTTGCATGGAGGGGGCGGGGCAGGCTGGCTGCCCCAAGCCGCCACAGCCAGGCCGCCCCAAATGTCAGCCCTCTCCCTCCATCACGACCTTTTGTGTCCTCCCACCCTCTTGCCAAAATCCAGCATTACACACCAAAACTGTCTAGGCATAACATAGGCTAGTAGTGTACAGAGGGCGGCGGGGGGGTGACGGGCAGGTAGGGAAGTTCTTCTCGGCGAGGTGTCGCGTGGCGGCGGTGGGTGCCTCGTACGTTGGCAGGCGTATGCAAGCAAGACGGCAAGGGGTGGCGCGGGCGGCAGACCAAGCTCCCCGGCGCGCGGGGAAGAGGGGCGGCGGGGGCTCACGCCAGGGTGGAGGCGTAGAGGGAGTAGAAGTTGTTGGCGGAGGCGTCGGCAAGGTGCTTGTTCAGGTTCTCAATGGGGCCCTCGCCGGTGACAATGGCCTGGATAAAGAAGCCAAACATGGACAGCATGGCGAGGCGGCCGTTCTTGATCTCCTTGACCTTGAGCTCGGAGAAGGTGTCGGGGTCGTCGGCCAGGCCCAGGGGGTCAAAGCTGCCGCCGGGGTACACGGCGTCCAGGCCGGTGCCCGCGGGGCCGCCGTTGACGCGGTAGCCCTCCACGTAGCTCATGAGGATGACCTGGGGGAGGCGGGGGGGGGTGGGGGAAGAGGGGAGGGGTGAGGGGTGAGGGGGCAGCGCGGCACGGCGGGACGAAAGCGTGGACCGGCACATCAGAGGCGCACTCGTGCAGGAAGGCCCCTGCCACCAGCGCCGCAGGCCCGGGCCGGAGCCGCGGCCGCAGGCCGTCCCGGCCACACACACAGCCCAGCGCGCGGGATCGGCCCCCAGCACCCCACCTGGACGATGAGGGTGGCGACGATGGACTTGGCGTTGATCAGGCCGGGGATGCCCAGGTACTGCAGGCCGTCGTCGGAGAAGATGGTGGCGCCGGCGTTGAACCAGGCAATGTGGTTGGTGCCGTCCAGCAGCTCGGGCACGACGCAGCCCAGGGCGCCCAGCATGGCCCAGCGCGCGTGGATGACCTCAATCTCGCGGTAGCGGGCAAAGGTCTGGGGGTCGGCAGACAGGCCGGCCGTGTCCCAGCCATAGTCGCCGGGGAACTCGCCTGCGGGCGAGGAGGGGGGAAAGCGCGGGGTGGGGGGGGCGAGGTGAGGCGCGGCGCAGAGGGGCTGCGCGACGCAGAGCCGTGAGGAGGGCCGCCGTGCTGCGCGGCTTGGTGCCGCTGCGGGTGCGGGCGGGCGGGCTCACCGGTCAGGTAGCTGGGGGTGGCGCCGTCGCTGTAGGGGCCCAGGAACTTGGGGCGGCTGGGGCCGTACTGCAGGCAGATAGGAGCGAGCGGGGCGAGAGAAAAAAATCAGATACGGCGCGGCTGAAAGATAGGGTTGGCTCCTGGCGGATAAGGCGGGAAACGCCGCCGCTACCGCGCGCCCTCCCGCCGCGGCAGCCACGCCGCCCAAGCAGCGCCCCAGGCTTCTCCCCTCGCTGCCACGGTGCAGTGTGGAGGGGCTGGTGGGCTGGGCAGGGGGCTGCTGGCTGCAGGGCACCGCTGGGGGTCGAGCCGCCGCCCTGTGCTCACCCAGCTGAGCTTGCTGCCGCTGCTGGCCTTCTTGGTGGTGCTCTTCTTGGTGGTGGCCTTGCCACTCTTGGTGGTGCGAGCGACCACGCTCTGCAGAAGGCAGGGGGACGCAGGAGCGGGTGATGCTGAGGAGGACAAATGGCTGGGGAGGGGCACACCCAGCCCTGGGCTGCTACACTGCCCGGCAGGCCCCAGAACCCCGGCTGCAAGCACAGATGAGGGCTGGGCGGGGTGGAGGGGAGGGCACGGGAGGGTGCAGCAAAGATACGCTGCTCACCAGGGCGGAGATGGCGAGAGCCATTTTGTGAGAGCTGCTGGAGTTGGGGGTGACCTGACGCAGCGAGGGGGGTGGCCTAACTGTTTCAGATAACCGCGGCGGGCGGGCGGGAGGCTGATGAGGGGACAGAATCCACATCCATCTGGACTTTCCAGCCATGCTGTGCATGAAACGATGCTGACCGCGTCCTCAACTCTGGTTCCAGTCAAGGGATGCAGGCGGAGCGTCGCCTGCTGCTCCAGACTGCTTGGGCTCCACATGATGGGCCCCACGATCCCTGGTGCCAGGCATGTGCACTCCATCCGGTGAGTCATGCCCTGCACAGCCCACAAGCTGCCTCCAAAGCCCACATGCTGCCTCTCTTCACACAACTGACCAAGAAGGTGCCGGGCCTGGGTGCGAGCGCCAGCTGCGGGTGGCGGTGCGGAGCCGCGGCTGGCAGTGGCTGTTTGTGCCTGCCCGTCTGCACCTGCTCCGGGCAGCCAGTAGAGCAAGACTGCCAGGGCATGCTGTTACAGAGAGTCCCCCATGGAAGGCAGACGGCATGGCAGGCGAGCACGGCAAGTCGGCATGCGCAACACGCAGCACGCGAACAGAGCAAGGGAGGGCTGGCGGAGGCCGCCAGGAGCAGCACCTCTTTTAAGGCCCTCAGGAGCAGCACCGCGGGGGCCCTCACTGGGCCACCACCTCGCTGCGGTTCATGCCATACAAGCTGTTGAGCGCCTCCTGGGCAAACTTGACGGTGTCGTGGGAGGCGCCCACCCGCTCCAGGTGCAGCGGCACAAAGCGCAGCGTGCCGCGCTGCGCGTCGCCGCGCACCTGCACCGTTGCGCGCCAGGTCTCGTGCGGCCCCAGCCGCCCCGCAGCTGCCGCCAGCACCTGGTGCGCGTCCGGCGGCTCGTCGTCCGCCACCGCCACCGCCACCGCCTGCTGCTGCTCCTGCTGCTGCTGCCGCCGCCGCCCCGCAGGCGCTGCCGCCGCGCCCGCTGCCGCGCCCGCCGCTTTCTTCCTGGGCCGCCGCTCCAGTTCCAGCCTCAGCTGCAGCAGCGTGGTGGCCTGCGCCTCCGTCTCCAGCAGGCGCAGGGACACGTCCTGGGCCACGCGGAAAGCCTGCTGCTGCCCCTTGGGCGCCCTGAACAGCCGGCTGGAGATGACTTGGCGAAGCAGCCGCTCGTACGACTGCAGCGGGGCAGGGCGCTGGGCGGGGGCTGCCTCAGCCTCTTGCGGCGCTGTTCGTTGCAGCGCTCTGCCTGGCTGCTTGTCACAAGCGTGACTGACAGCAAGCTCGGCCGCTTGAAGGGTGAAGCAGCGGGCCAGGCAGCTGCGGGCCCGAGGCCCGGCACAACACAGCCCCGCCCCGCGCCTCACCTGCAGCTGCATGGGGTGCACCGAGGCCAAGGGCCAGGTGGGCGAGGGCGGTACCGCCGACGGCACCGCCACCGCGCCCCGCGCAGCCTCCCCGCCCTGGGGCGGCGCGTCGCGTGCCACCAGCTCGATCACGCCCGGCTTGACGGGGCGCACCCTCAGGCGCTGGCCACTGCCGCCGCCTCCGGTAGTGGTGGTGGCGGCGGGCGCCGCCAGCAGGGCTGCGCCGTGGGGTGACAGATCGAGCTCCAGCCCCACCAGGCCCAGGGACTGGTCGGGGTGACTGGCGTTCCAGTGCGCCGCCGCCGCGGCGCGCACCCCCGCCAGCAGGTGCAGCACGCCCAGCGGCTGGCGCTGGCCAGCGTCGGCGGCCACAATGCCGGCGAACTCCGACAGGCCGATGGGCGGCAGGTCGAGGCCGCGGCGCAGGCGCACCGAGCGCGCGCCGCGCACCATCACGGCCGCCCCCTCGCGCAGCAGCACGCGCTGCACAGTGCCCGCGTCGCTGGCGTGCGGCAGGAACAGCTGCGGGGGCGGGGGCGGGCGGGAGGTGAGGGGCGAGCCTCCGGCGGCGGGAGCGCCCCAGGCACGTGCCACGCTACCCACGCGCAAGGACTGATGAGGCCAGAGGGCAGGGAAGGGCAGGGAGGGGCAGGGACGGCAGCAGCAGGCAGGCGGGCACCGCAGGCATCCACCGCCGCTGGCTGCCGCCACCTGCCCCACCCACCTGCAGCGCGGTCGGCCTGGTGAGGAACACATCCACCGGCCCCTCCAGCGCAAAGTCGGGCAGTAGGCTGCCGCGGCTGACGGGGCTCAGCCAGTCTCGCTCAATCGAATCCCAGTCGTGCCTGGGCAGCAGGCCGCCCTGCAGGGAGGCACGGGGGGTTGCGGTGGCGCCCCCAGGGCAGAGCAGGGCGTCTGGGTGATGCAGCAGGAGACGGATGCGCCGCCCCGCAAGCCGCGCGCCTTCCTGCCGCTCCCTCTTGCACGTGCGGCACTGCAGCGGGGCTGCGCTGCCGGGCTGCGCCACCCAACAAAACGGCTGGCAGGCAGGCAGGCAGGCAGGCAGGCAGGCAGGCAGGTAGGCAGGCGGGGACCTCCCCCTCGCACTCCACCTCGCAGAGAAGCGCCCCGTCCACCACGGCGCCCCTGCACCCCGAGCCGTGCGCACCTGTGCGGCGGGCAGCACTTGCTCCAGGCTCCGCCAGTCCTCCTCCGACGACACCACGTAGCGGTACACCTGCCCGTCAGCTTCCAGCCCCAGCGACACCGACTGGCCGTGCCAGATGCGCAGCTCGCCCAGGTCTGCGCCGCGCAGCTCCACAGTCTTGCTAGCATCCTGTGGGAGGGAAGTTGTTTTACTGTCATCTTTGTTTATTGTGGCAGCAGCGGCGGGCTGTGTGGCTGGTGCAGGGGCGGGCGAGGCCAACGCTCTCGGATCAAGCGGCGACAGGGGAGCGGCGCCTCCCCACCTGCTTTTCCAGCGCCTCGACGACGGCGGCAGCAGCAGAGGCCGTGGCTCGCTGCCATAGCTGCACCGCATCTCCACTGGAGGCCAGAGACGCGAGCTCTGCGGCAGTATGGCAGGAGGAACAGGTGTGGAGGCTGCTGCGGGCAGCAGCAGGAAGCCTACCCGTCGGTGCAGCCACCGCCGTTCCCAGCTCGCCGCCGCGGCTCCGAACCTGTGGCCGTGACTATCGCGCCGCCCCCGCTATCGCTTGGATGTGCATCGGCCCCTAGCGTGCCGGCCACGCAAAACAGAGCCAGCGTGCTGGCCACGCAACGCCGTGCGGACATCGCCCCAACAGGGCGCAGAGTCGCAGCTCTGGGTCTTTACTTCCGTAAAATGATGGTGGTTTTCTGATGGTGATCTTCTCGTGCGCCCCAGAAGAAGTCACAAGTACAGCGGTGACCGCCGCAGTACAGGCTGCCGCAGCCCCAGAATGCATCCACGCTGCTCCCCCCACTCATGCATCTGCTCTAGTTGGACCACAGCCATGCAGCCGCCTTTCCAATGAGAGCATCACAAGAGTCTCCTCCACTTCCCATGCCGCGCGTGGCTGCTGCGCCTGCTGGCATGCTTTGCTGTTGCTTCAACTCTCTGCCCTCCCGCTCATTTGCACAACAATAAGACTGTGGATCACGTGGTGCTTTGTTATGGTGTGTGGCGAACATTACACCGCATGAGGCATCGCTTCTGCGGCTCAGGCCGCCGGCGCTCGCCGCCTCTGCGGCGCATGTTGGAGAGGTGAAAGGCTGCCGACTGCCCTGCTACTGCATTCACTCGCCCCTGTTACAACATATGCAGCGCTCTTCGCGTTTTCCTGGAGCTGTCTGGATACCAGAGCGGCAGCCGAAGCGGGCGACAAGGCGGCGGCAGTGGCGGCCAGCACAAGGCCGGCTGCAGCAGAGGCCCAGGTGGCTGCCACACTTGCACTCTGATCACCAATGACGAAAGCTTCAGGCTAGAGGCCTGCCGAGCAGGGCAACCGGAAGCAATTGCAGGTGGCTGATATCAGTGGCTTGCACTCATCGATGAATGCAAGCAGCCGCGCAAAGCTGAGAAGCTTCTGCAAACGAAGCCTCTCGCGGCCCGGAAGGTGGTGCACCGCATGGGCTCCGCCAGCTGGCACAAACGTGAAGCTGAAGTCACGTGCAAGTCTGTGGCCCTCCAGTGAACCCCCATTCCAATCAATTGCGTACTCAAGACCAGAATAGAGAGAGAGGGACCACCCCCGACAGGTTCGCCAACCTCCAGCCCTCACTGGTTCGACCCTCCTGAGCGTTCCGCGGGCGCTGGGACCTTGAGCTTCACAGAACTTGATCAGCTGACCCGGCGGCACCTTTGGAGGCGGCGCCGTCCGAGGGGCTGTAAGGAGAGACCCGGCGCCGCAGCGGCAGAGGCCCGCCCCGCGGCTCGCTGCCACCACCACCACCACCTCCAGCCCATCCCGCGGCACCCGGTGCCGCCCCAGCACCGCAGCTAGCGCTGCAGGCTCATGGCAGTGACGCAGACGCCGCGCTGCGTGGAGCTGCCGCACGGCGGGGGGCACTATGTGCTTGCCAACGCCCGTGTGCCTCAGGGGTGCGTGGAGGGCGGCGTGCCCGCCAGCACCCACGTGTGTGTGGACAACCTGGCTGAGCTGGACATCGAGGTGAAGGGCGGCCAGGTGGCAGCGCTGTACCCTGCGGGAGGCGCGGCGCAGCACACCAGCGCACGGCGCGTGGACCTGCGCGGCAAGATGGTGCTGCCCACGTTTGCCGACCTTCACACGCACATCGGTGAGGCGGGCGGGGCAGCTGGGGCCGGCCGGGCAGCGGCACAGCCCCCTAGCCTGCCGCCGGCGATGCCATGCCCTGGAGCGCCCCCCAGCAGCAGGCCTTTGCAGGGCACATGCCGCGGCTGCCCTACTTGCTTGATACCATCCACCTCCCCACCCGCCCTTTGCCCCCTCCCCCTGCGCCTGCCCCAGACAAGGGGCACACCACGGAGCGCAGCCGCAACCCCGATGGCAGCCTGAGCGGCGCCGACCGCAGCACAGCGCGCGACGCCGCCTTTTGGGACGAGTCCGATGTGTGCCGCCGCATGGACTTCAGCCTGCGCTGCGCCTACGCGCACGGCACCTCCGCGCTGCGCACCCACCTCATCAACATGACCCCCAAGCAGACGCAGCTCACCTGGCCCGCCTTCTCCCGCCTGCGCGCCAAATGGGCGGGCCGCGTGGAGCTGCAGGCGGTGTCGCTGGTGGTGCTCAGCTTCTTCCGCGACGCCGCCGCCGCCGCCGCGCTGGCAGACCTGGTGGCCGCGCACGGGGGCATCCTGGGCGCCGCCGTGTGCTGCGCGGAGAAGGGGGGCGACCCCTCAGATGATTGGACCACCTGCGAGGGCGACCGGGACGAGCTGCTGGACCGGTGAGGCGGCCGCCGCTGTGTGTGTGTGTGTGTGTGTGTGTGATTGTGTGTGTGGCACGGCCCAGGGTGCCAGCAGGCGGCGGCTTTGCTGGCGCCCCGTGTCTGCTCACCACACACACTGTTTCCACGTGCACAACACACCCACACACCACCATCAAGACTCTGCCTCTGCGCACACGTGCACACACTCCCTGTCCCCTCCCCTCCCCCACCCCTCCCCCTCCCCCTCCCCCTCAGCATCTTCACTCTGGCCAAGGAGCGGGACCTCGACCTCGACTTCCACACAGACGAGAACGGCAACGAGCTGGCGCGGGGGCTGCGGTACGTGGCGCAGAAGGCGGTACAGCACGGCTACCAGGGCCGCGTCGTGTGCGGGCACTGCTGGTGAGCGCGGGCGCGGGGGCGGGGCCGGGGACGGGCGTGGCGCGTGTGCAGCGGAGAGAGGGCCGCCGCCGCTCGCCTGCCCCTCGTGCCGCTGGACTTGCGGGCAGGGGGGCGGGTGGGGCCAGCAGGAACGCGGGCCCGCCACACACCTGGCTGGCCCCGCCACACACCACATCGCGCCGTGCATCGTGGCACGCCGCCTCCCTCCCTCCCCTTCTTCGCCTTATGTGCCGCCTCCGCCTGCCTCCCTGCCCCGCCCCTGGCCCCGGCCCCTGCAGCTCGCTTGCTTTCCAGCCGCCTGATGAGCTGGCCGCGACGCTGGAGGTGGTGCGGCGGGCCGGGGTTACGGTGGTCAGCCTGCCACTGGTCAACCAGTGGACGCAGGACCGCAGCCACTGCGGCGGCCGCACGCCGCGCTGGCGAGGCGTCACGCTGCTGCACGAGCTGCGCGCGGTGAGGCACGCCGCTGCACGGGCGCGGCATGGCAGCTGGGCACGGCACCTGAGCATGGCAGCAGCATGAGAGGGGGCGGCTGCGGCTGCGACTGTTCTGCGGCGCACGCCTCTGCCCCTCCCCCTCCGCCCCTCTGCCGCCCCGACCTGCGCGCCGCCGCCTCCCTCCCTGCCTCCACCCCTCCGCCCCGCTGCCCCGCGGCCGCGCCCGCCTACACGCCTGCGTTCCTCACCCCGCCCGGCCAACAGGCCTACACGCCTGCCAGCCTGCCGCCCAGCCTTGACCGCATCCAACCCCTCCCCATGCCCCACCCCGCAGGCCGGCATCCCCACCGCCATCTCTTCAGACAACGTGCGCGACCAGTTCTACGCCTATGGCGACCTGGACATGCTGGAGGTGTTCACCCAGAGCTGCCGCATGGCGCACCTGGACCGCCCCTACGGCGACTGGCCGCAGGCGGTGACCAGCATACCAGGTGGGCCGCGGCGTCTGTTTTGAGGGCCTGCCTGGCTGGCTGGCTGGCTGGCTGGCTGGCTGGGCCTGGGCCTGGGCCGGTGTCTGACCTGTGGCAGGCTGGCTGGGCCTGGGCTGCGTGGCAGAGCTGCGCGCAGGCGCGACGGCTGGGCGGCTGCAGCACCTCAGCCGCCGCCTCCTCTCTTTCCGCGCCCGCCTGCAGCCGATGCCATGCACCTGCCGCAGCACGGCCGCATCGCCGTAGGCCTGCCCGCCAACCTGGTGGTGTTCCGGGGCAGGCGCTTCTCGGAGCTGCTGTCGCGGCCGCAGTACGACCGGGTGCGTACCGCCGCCGCCGCCTTGCCCCTGCCCCATGCCGCGCCCGAGCCCTGCCCCGCTGTGTACAGCACAGTCGAGGCTACACCTGCTGCTCGGCTCGCGCCTGCTGTGCCCAGAACATGCGACTGAGCATGCCGTGGTGGTGCTGCGCCAGTGCAGGTGGTGGTGCGCGACGGGGCGCCCTTACAGGTTGCCCTGCCAAGCTATGAGGAGCTGGACTATGTGCCGCAGGCCATCAAGACGGGTGGGTGGCCGCAGGCGGTACCGTACTGCCTGCCGACCGTACTGCCAGGCCGGGCCCCGCACGGCGGCTGGTGCCCAGCAAGGGCCCAGCCTGCCACGCCACCCGTGACCGCAAGCCTGATCGTCACCTCCGCCCCGCTCCCCTCCCACCCTCGCCCGCTGCAGGCGACGTGCCTGTGCTGTCAGTGGATTATGAGGCAGATGGAGCGGCCGTGGTGAAAACCGCAATCGGGGCCCCCGTGTGCAAGCAGGGCGGCGCCCGCACGCCGCTGCACGTCTCTGCCAGGGCGCTGGGCGCCGCCGACGGCGCCAGCCTGGCGCTGCCCGCCGGCAGGCACCTGCCGCTGCTGCTGCTGCTGTCGTGCCTCATGGCGGCTCTGGCGGCACTGGCCGGCAGCTACACCAGCTCGCTGACGAGAGTGCTGGACCTGCCGTGGATGTCGTGAAGCGGGCCGGCGCTGCCGCAGCGTTGCCCTCTGCACCCACCCTGCTGCGTGCGTCTTTCGCTGGTGCGCCACCGTTGCAGCGCCCCGTGCCTGCTTCGTTGTCCGGTGCTGTGTTGTCCCTACCCTGTGTTGTCCCACCTGTGTTGTTTCTTTCCATCCTTCATTGCGCCCCTTACTTGCGGCTTGTATTGCGCAATCCCTTGCCTCCTCTGAATCCTGCTCCCCTGGTTTCACATTTTGGCGCCCAGCCCAGGCTGCTGCGCTGCTCTTCATTCATCTGTGCTCCCGCATAAAATGCGCCCCCTACCCGCCAAAACAAACCCCATTCATGGCTGTGTGAATGGCCGCGTGCGGCAAACTGACAGCCCCCTTCTTCTGCCTCCCAATGACCCCTCTCTTTTTCTCTTCTCCCGCCGCCGCACTTGTCACTGTACAACTTGCGGAGCCGCCCTCCCTTTGAAATTACACAGAGCCTGCGGCGCCTGTAACATACTTGCCTTGCTGTAGGTGCCACCCCATCAGTGGTGGTGGGGAGTGACACACCAAGGCAGCCTCATGCACCCCTCGAGCGCTGGCCACCAGTCAGCATCTGTGATCGCTTCCAAGGGCAGTGTGTGGGTATGCCTGGGAGCAAGAACCAGGTGCAGGGCATCACAGGGATGCATGCAGGATGTGGGAGCAGCCGGCGCATGCATCACGTGCATGCAAAGGGGGCACAGCTGCCGCCGTCCCGCCACCGCCACCTCAGCTGGGGTGGACTACCTCTCATCGGCTCGGCTGCACACTCCTTGAAGAGCAGAGCGCGCGGCGCCAGCCTTCCTGCCCGCCATGCGTTCGTATGGGCGGCTCCACCCCCGCGGCCTGTTCACGCCGCTGCTGCTAGGGTGCCTGGTTTGTGCTCTGAGCACCATAGCAGCGGCTTCAAATCAGCCTAGCGCCATTTGGCCCCAGCCCCGCTTCTTCGACCAGAGATGCCCGGGTGCTCAGCTGCAACTTGCTGGAGCTCGGCTCAGAGTGGTCGTGCAGAGCACCAAGGGAGCGGCTCAAGCCACATTCTATGTGAAGAAGAGCTTCATGCGGCTGCAGCGGGCCTGGGGCTGCCCCCCTTACATCCCCGGTACCGGCACTGGTGAGCACCCGCCGCCGCCGCCGCCGCCGTGTCCGTGTTGCCTCTTACGCTGCAGGCGCATGTGCGAGTTTGTGGAAGGCAGGCTGCTGCAGTGAGCTGGATGGATAATCTGGCTGCAGCCACGCTGCCTGGCCTGCCACCCGGCTCGGCACGCATGCACACCCTCGCGCCGCCACCACCGCAAGCCTTGCATGCACCGCACGCCCTGCCTGCAGGCCCGCTGGTCACTGTCACGATAGCAGACGCCAGCTGCACGGAGCCCTCGTGCTACACGCACCGCACAAACGAAAGCTACGTGCTGGCAGTCTCCTCCACCGCCGTGTCAATCAAGGCGCGGACCATCTTTGGCGCCGGGTGGGCGCTCTCCAGCATGACGCCGCTCGCCCAAGCCATCTGCCGGGTGGACTGCGTGCCCGTCAAAGGTGCGGGGGTGGGCAGCACGGCAGGCCGACAGCGGCCCAATCCCGGGCCTAGGCAAGCTCGCCGCTGCCTGCCCCCATCCCCGCCAGCCGCATGCCAGGAGGTGCACACCAAGCACAACCTGCGCCCGTCTCTCCCACTCACCAGCGTTTCAACACACACACACAAACACGCACACACACACACACACAAACACGCACACACACACACACACACAGCTCCCTGACTGCCTCTGCCCTGCAGTGGACGACGCGCCTCGGTTTGGGCACCGCGGCATCCTGTTGGACACGGGGCGCAACTGGTTCAGCCCCGACGACATCAAGCGCAGGCTGCTGGACCCCATGGCCGCCACCAAGATGAATGTGCTGCACTGGTGAGGGGGTGGGGGGGCACGGGGTGGATGCGCGCTTGGTGGCGGCAGCCGCGTTTAAGGAGGTGGAGGTGGTGGCGGTTGTGGTGGTGGTGGTGGTGGTGGCAATGGTGGTGGTGGTCCGGCGTGGCCGGCAAGCCGATGCACGAGCCGGGGCGCCAGCGCTCCAGCCTCAGCGGCATCCACTGCTGCCGCGCCCCGTGCTGCCGCCGCCTCCCCGCGCCTGCCCGCCCGGTGGCCAGCCGCCCAACTGACCCACCACACCACCACACCGCGTGCAGGCATGTGTACGACAGCCAGAGCCAGCCGTTGGAGGTCCGGTCCCGGCCGAGCCTGTGGCAGCCCTACTCCCCCGCCCAGCGCTACACCCAGGAGCAAGCGCTGGACCTGGTCAGCTATGCGTTCGACAGAGGCATCCGCATCCTGCCCGAGTTCGACCTGCCTGGTGAGGGCAGCGGCAGGGCCTGGCGCAGCGGCGGCGAGGGACGCTGCGGCGGCGGCGGCGGCCAGGGACGCTGCGCTGGCGGCGAGGGACGCGGGTGTTGTGGTGCCACGGCCTCCGTCCGACTGATGTGGATGCAGCGGCAGCATAGCGGCGAGCCCGGACTTGTGGCCAGCTAGCCCCGTGCCTGCGGCGGCTCTGCCAACCTTGGCCTGGCCGCCAGCGCGCTCACCCGCCTGGCGAATGCTCTTTCTTGTTTTTTCTGCAGGCCACACCGCGATTTTCGGGAAGGCCGACGCCAGCCTGACGGACTGCCTCAACTACATCCCCTGGAGCGGCGCGGGCTGGCCTAATGTCATGGCCAACCAGCCCCCTGCGTGCGTGCGCCGTCGCCACCTGCCCTGCCGGAATGCGCGGCAAGCGCGGCAAGCGCAGGGGTGCAGGGCGGGATGAGCGGTGCTGCCGTCGCGCATTGCTGTCTCTCACACCGCCGCTGCTCGCTGCCTCCCTCCCCCCGTACCCCCCTTGCGTGCCTGTTTCAGCGGCCAGCTCAAGGCCGACAGGGTTGGGGTGGCCACCGGCCTGCTGCGGGAGATGATGGATCTCTTCCCCAACAAAGTCATCAGCACAGGGGCTACCGGTGAGCCAGGGGCGCCGCATGCCTGCCTGCCTGCCTGCCTGCCTGCCTGCCTGCCCCCGCCCATGAGAATAGTGGCCCATACAAAACCCTGTGGTCTGTGCGTGTGTGGCACACCGCAGCAGCAGGCCTCCAGGCGGTGCATGACGCCCAGCGCACACTCGGCTCTACTCCTGTGTGTGCAGAGGTCAATTTCAACTGCTGGAACGAGGCCACCATCACTCCCGTGGATGACGAGGGCTACCCCCGGTTCAGGCAAAAGTCACTGGCCAAGCTGCGGGCCTTCCAAACAAAGGTGCGCCGCTGGTGCCGACCCGCCAGCTGCCATGGCCACCATGCCGCCGCTTGGGGCCCCAGGTTGCTTCCATGCCGCGTGCCACCACTGCTGCGCGGCGCCTCTCCTCGGCTTGCCGGCTCTGGTTGAGGGGTGCTGAGGCTGGCATAGCCATGACCGCTCAGGCTGGCATAGCCATAGGGCGCCTGCCTCATGCCGCCCCCCCTGCCCCTGCCCCTGCCCCTCGCTTGCGCAGGTGGCATCCGCCGTGAACCAGGCTGGCAACACCATGGCTGTGTATGACGAGAGCTTCACGGAGTTGGGTTTCAACAACTCCACGGCGCTACCTAAGGGCAGCATACTGTTTGCGCGGAGCCAGCCGCAGCGTGCGCCTGTGATGACCTCAAACGGGTGGGCAGCCGCCGCAGGCCGCTGCCCGCCCTGCGCCGCTTGCTGCCGCCGGGCTGCCTGCCCCCAGCGCCGCCTTCATGCCGTCTGCCCTCTCCAACCCAGCTGCCGTGGTGGCTGGCATCTCCATCTCCGCCCCCCAGCTCACACGGCGCTTGCCCACCACCACCACGCTCTCCCACACGCACGCACACACACTCTCGGCTCCCCCCTTCCACCCACGTGCCGACGCCCTCCACCCTGTGCGGTACCGCAGGTACAACGTGGTCATGATGCCCGTGCGGCCCTACGACCTCGACTGCGGCCTGGGTACCGCCTCTGCCGCCGCCAATGCGTGCGGCCCGCTCAACAGCTGGGCCTCCATCTATGGCTGGGACCCGCTGGCCAACTTCACCACAGGGTCGGTGGGGATGCGGTCGAGAGTGCTGGGAGGTGAGCAGGCCAGGCGGCCGGCGCGGGCGGCGAGGTGGAGGCAGGGCAAGGGAAGGGTGGAGGCGGCGAAGCTAGAGGCAGGGGAGGGGTGGAGGGGTGGAGGCGGCGAGGGGAGCAGGCGGGGGATCTGCTGCTGCCACGGGATGGTCGCAGGAAGCGCAGCAGGCACTGTGACATGGGTTGAGCATGCTGTGCTGTGCTGTGCTGTGCAGGCGAGGTGGCCGCGTGGTCTGAGCACCTGCGCCCCTCCGTCCTTGACTATGTGGTGTGGCCGCGGGCAGCAGCGCTGGCAGAGAAGCTGTGGAGCCCCGCCAGCGCCACGCGGGTGAGGCAGCAGGCTGCTGCCTGCCATGCAGCCCATGCACCTGCCAGGCCTGGCTTGCCCGCCACGCTGCTGCGCCCCGCCAACGCACGACCCGTGCCCGCCCTGCGCCGCAGAACATCACGGCAGCTGCGGCGCGCCTGAGGCGGCTGTCGGAGCGGCTGACGGCCCTGGGGTTGAACCCCTCGTCGCTGAGCTGGCAGAGCAGGAACTTCCGATACAACCTGCTGCCGCAGGCAAGCCAGGGTGGCCGCAATGTGACGCTGCCGGTGCCCGCAAGCTGAATGCCAGAGGCATGGGAGTCCTGCGGGATGCGGCTGACGTGCTTCGCCTGCCTGGCTCCCTCCCGTTGGCTGCAGTACTGCGATACCGCTTCGCCGCAGTACAGTCACCTTGGCGTGGACTACTGGTGAGGCATGCTGAGTGCCTGCCAACCCATCCTTGCCTGCCCCTGCCCGCGGTGCACGTTTGGCGGAGGCTCAGCCTCCCATGCTCATCTGCAATACCACACTGCCTGGCTTGCCTCGTTTGCTCGTCTGGCTAAGGGGTGCCTGCTTGCTCCTGTGTGCCCGGTGCAGCGCCCCAGCCGCAAAGTACAAGGGCGTCAGGCTGACTTTCGGCAACCTGGTGATCGACTGAGCTGCGCCGCTTGTAGCGTGGGCGGCATCCAGTTTGCCCCGACCATGTGCCCTGCACCCTGCCTTGTGCCCTGCACCCCTCTGCACACTCTCTGTTTCAATCGCTTCAGCACTGTTTCTTCTGTTCGTCCACCACTACATTTGCAACGCCCGCAAAGGTGTGATTATACATACAGGAATGCAGTGAAGAGGTCAAACGAGCATGATACGAAATACATAAAGGCGGCATTAGGGCAGGGCTCTGGTGACGGTGGGCAGCCTGACGCCACATGGTGGAAGGAAATTGAGGGGTTGAAACTGAGATAAGGTAAGGAATACCAAGTTCTCGTCGGGTAGTTGTTCACAGGCACGATGTGATGTCAGGTTCATGCTTGGCAGAAGGTGGCGCTGCCGAGGTATGCCAGCAGGCGCCTAGCCAGGCTGCTACTCGTCCTCCTCCTCGGCATCCTCCACCCACCCCTCCAAGCAGAAGAGGAACTGCAAGCAGGTGGTGGTGGTGGTGTGTGTGTGGGGGGGGGACGCCCGGCATGTGGGCCCCTCAGGGCCAGGCTTCTGCCGGTGCATTTGCCCGGTGCCCGGCGGCCTTCCCAGCAGCGCCGCACTCGTTCATGTGCCCCAGCCCGCCTGCCTGCTCTAGCCAGCTGACCTCCAGGAAGCTGACCCTGCCGCTGCCGTTCAAGTCCAGCTCCTCAAACCGCTGCTGCGCGATGCTGCGGATGGGGTCGCCGCCGCTGCCGTTGGCAGAGTGCCGCACCTGGTCCGTCGCGCTCTGCGCAGGCAGGACGCGGCAGAGCGACCAGGGGCGGTGCAAAACCGAGGTCGCTAGCAGCGTGGACCATGCAGGCGGCGGGCCAGCAAGCCCTGCCGAGGGGGGCACTTGCATCACCCCTTCCACCCCTTCCACACAAAGGCTCTACCCGGCATGCTTGGGCACCAGTCAGGACCCCACCCTGCCAGCCCTTGTCTACTAGTAGGTGCGCTTCTGTGCCCCCACCTCATGCATCAGCCCCGTGAGCTCGTCCTTCTCGATGAACCCGTCCCGGCTGCTGGCAAAGGACATGAAGGCCTCCTCTGCGGTGCGCCAGGTGGCCAGGATCTGGGGGTCCACCAGCTCCTCGTCCTCGGGGCCCTGCGGGACGGTACCGCAGAGGCACCCACCACCCAGGCTGGTTGGTGTGCGCGCAGCGGCGGGAGCAGCAGCTGGCAAGCACCCAGGCTGCCGCGGGCGCCTTCCCCCCCCCCCCCCCCCCGAACAAGCAGCAGAACCCTGGCGGGCGCGTGGGACGACGCTCACCCCTGACGCCCATGCGCGCCACCATGCCAGCGACGGACCCACACACGCTGGTGCGGCGGCGGCGGCGGCGGGCAAGCGGGGCCAGCGGGGCTGAGAGGCCTGCCCCGCCTGCCTGCCTGGCTCACCCTGAGGGAGTGGACTATGGCCATGGTGGCAAGGAATTCGTGCACGTTCAGGGTGCGGCTGCCGTCCATGTCGGCGCCGGCAAAGATGGAGTGCAGGGTGGCCTCATCCAGGTGGTATCCCAGGGATGCGCAGGCGGGGCGCAGCTGCTCCAGGCTCAGCTCGCCGCCCTCCACCCCCACCAGCTCCCGGAACACCCGCTTGGAGGCGGCAAAGCCCTCGTGTAGCGTGCCGAAGCGCAGCAGCAGGCGGTTGAACTTGACCTTGGGCGCAGACGGGTCGGCGGCGGCCGCCTTGGCCTGCCGGGGATGGGCAGAGGGTGGGAGAGAGGGGTGAGGAGGCACAGGGGCAGAGGGGCTAGCGGGGGAGGGCAAGCACGATGCCTGCGGCAGGTGCGTGGACTTGCGCCACTCTGCCGCTAGCCCTCGCTGCCCCGCCCCTGCCGCTCACCATGATGATTTCTGCCAGCCGCTGCTCTAGCGCATGCCTGCTGTTGGCTGCCTCGGCCTTGCTCGCCGCGACATACTGCCGGCGCAGGCCCACCCTGGCAGACAGCCGGCTGACCCCGCTGGACAGCCGGCTCAGACCGCGGGCGCTGCTGCTGGATGCCTGCGAGCGCCGGCTCAGGCTGTTGTCCCGCTTGAAGGACCTCTTGCCCAGCGTGTTCCCCATGCCTGTGTGCGGTGCTTGGTGCTAGCTACGCTTGTGGTCCAAGTGCCTGCACGTCGGCGAGGAACTGCGGTGCAAGGGCGGCGGCGGCGGGTTTGTTGCAGCGTGCCGACGCTGCCTCCCAGGACCATGCCCGCCTCTGCGTGACCTTGCGATGCTCACCATGCAGGTTACCGCGGCCACTGTGCCTGCTCCCGTGCGCTGTGTCGCGAGGCTATCGAACCTAGGCTCGAAACACCTCCACCGCGTGTAGATTGGGCTGTTCAGTGATTTGCAAGTGTTGGGGAGCGCAGGAACGGCATTTTCCGCCCCTCCTGCTGTGCCCCTTCACTGCGCAGCAGCAGACCCACACCCCATCGCCCATCCCCCGCACCGCCATCGCTGCATTCTCGGTTCACCTTCAGCAGCAAGTTTGCAGCCGCAGTGGATCCAGCGCCGCCCAAGCTATCCCCAGCCTCTGCGCCACCCTCCCCTCCCCATCCCGGCAGCCATGCAGCACGCCGCCATCCAGCAGCAGCGGCCGTTCACGGCGGCCGTGCGGCGGGCGGCGGGCAGCGCGACACGGCTGCGCGCGGGCGGCAAAGGCGCGGCGCCGCCCACCACCGCGCAGCTGGCCGAGGGGGCGCGCGTGAAGGTCAAGGCCCCCGTCAAGGTCTACCACGTGGGCAAGTACAAGGCGGGGCTGGAGCTGGAGGGCATGGAGGGCACCGTGGTGCAGCCCAACGTTTGCGACTACAAGCACCACGACGGCAAGAAGCACGACCTGTCGGCCACGCTGCCGGTCAAGGTCCAATTCATGGTGCCCGCGCCAGATGGCGGCAAGGACGTCAAAGTGCTGGTGCACCTGGTGAGCTCGCTGGCGGGAGTGGTGAGGCCACAGATGCTGCGCCACAGCACAGCAGGGTGCCGGCCTCCGCAGGGCGCTGCCGGGCGCCGCCGAGGCGGCGTGGTGTGCCTCGCCTGCTTGCTCCTTGTGTGGGGCGCAGCCAGGTTTAGGTGGCAGCTGGGCATCTGCTGTCATGACCTGCCCTGCTGCATCCACCAACAGTGCGCTGCCCGCCCCCGCTGCAGGCGGACGATGAGGTCGAGGCGGTCTGAACACATAAACTGAGGCTGCCCCTTGCCCCGACATGGCCGCACATGAGGTGGCTCATGGCGCATTCAAGCAGGGCACACGTTGAGAGGGGCCAGGGCCTTGCCGGCGGGCGCCTGGGCCGGCTGCCAACCGTGCCCTATGTTTTCCAGCCACTCTGCATTCTTTCCGTGCTGAAACGAGCGGGACACCTTTTCATTTTTTGTTTTGTGCCAGCGACCAACACTGCATATCATTTTTCGGCTGATTCGCGTATGTAACAACACCCATATAATCGGGCTGCTCACCTGCCGGGAAGTGCAGCAGGTACAGTGCAACATGGCTGCTTCGGGCACACAACGGGCTCGGTTCCATGTTGCTGGCCAACACCACAGAGGGTTGATTCACACAAACTCTTTGGACCAGTTGGGACAAGCGGAGCAGAAGGGAGGGTTGCAACAAGCAAGACCGCAGCAACAGGAGTCAAAAAAGGCCGCACTGGAGTCATAATTAACCGCACACACAAACTGAAACTCTCCCACTCACGAGTTCAAGCGGACAGCAATAAAACAATGCAGAATGGGCAGGATGGTCGGCACGTCCACCAGCGCTCACGTCGACGGGAGCGGGAACAAGGGCTGCTGGCCATCCTGCCGCACCGCCTCTGCCAGCTGCAGCAGCTGCTCCACGCCGCCCACCTGCGCCGCCTCCACAAGCGCCTTGCGACCAAAGCGCAGCGCCCGCCGCTCGCACACCGCACGCACGTCATCATCTGCGCCCAGCCAGCCAGTCAGCCATGCCAGGCCAAGTCAATGTTCAGTTGAGCGGATGGCACACGCCAGACCAGGCAGGCGAGAGGGTTGGCGGCGCCAGCCTGATCCCCAGCCGTGGTACCCACCTGGGATGCTGTCCATGTCCGCCACGTGTGCAATGCCCACCAGGCGACGGATGACCACGGCCCCCAGGAACCCCACCGCATCCCTCCACAGCTCCTGCATGAACTGGCGTTGCGCCTGGGCCAGCGCCTCCTCACCCTGCACAGCCAGCCAGCCAGCCAGCAGGTCACGATCGAAAGAGCTTGCGCTGCGAGCAGCGCCAGCCAGCCGCTGCCGTGGTGGGCTGGCGGGAGGAGGGAGGGTCCCAGGCAGGGCGCGCCCTCGTGCCCTCCCCGCTTCCAGCAAGCAAGCGCCGCCGCACCTGCTCGGCGCCGCCGCCAAACAGCACAGCAGCGTAGGCGTCGCCCCTGGCGCCGTGCTGATGCCAGAGCTCGCAGAAGCGGCGGCTGAAGCCCTCCCACACCTCCTTTGTCGCGTCCAGCAGCCAGCGGCGCTGCTGCATGCGGGGCTCCGCATCTGCGCATGCCACGGGGGTCACACAAGGCTGGGGCCTTTGCCAGGACGGCCACAGCCTACCCACTCAGCAGCACCTGCCCCGGCACTCACACCGCTGCCAGGCACGCCACACATGCCCAGCCGCCGCCCGGCCAGCCGGCCAGCCAGCCCGCAGCGCCTCTCCGCCGGCCCACCACCCCTCCTGCCCACGCCACACGCACCCGTGGCGTGGCCGTCGCAGGCGAAGAACATGAGCAGCAGGTTGGCCAGGATCTTGCCCACATCAAACGCCATGGGACCATAGTAGGCAAACTCCGGGTCAATAACATACGTGCTGTCCTCTGCGGCAGGAGGCGGGAGGAGAGAAGCGTGGGGGAGGCCACGGGGCACCGGAAAGCAAGGTGGGGAACGGCTGGAGGGGTGGCGCGGGCTGGGAGCAGAGAGGTGGCGCCGCCGCTGCCACCGCCAGGAACAACGCCCGCCGCCGCTCAGCGGCACCTGTGGCCATGATGGAGCCGGTGTGGAGGTCGCCGTGGATCAGCGCCTGGTGCTGCTGCGTGAACTTGGCCTGCAGGCGGGGGCGAGGGGGCGGCGCGCCGCTCAGCAGTGGTGACATGTCAAGTTGTGCAGCATGTATGGTCAGGCCACGCCTGGAACTGTGTGAATGAGGAGGTGCCAATGCACACACTGATCCCCCGCCCCTGTGCCTCACCACCTAATGCCTACCTTGAGCTTGGCGGCCGCCACCCTGGCGGCCACGTCAGCACGCAGCGCCGCCACGTCAGCGTTCAGCTGCGGGGAGGTGTGGCGGTTGTGCTCCGATGGGTAGTACGGATCTGTGAAGACCACCTGCAGCACAGGCAGGGGGAGGCACACCAGCCCACGCCGCCGTGGAACTCCTCGACTAAGCGCTCGACAGAACAGGGGAGGTTGCGCGGGGCCCTCGCGCACGCAGCGCAGCCAGCCAGCCCCGGCAGCGGCCGCCTCAGCCGCCCACCTGCTCCGTCAAGCGGCACATCTCCACGTTTGTGAAGCGACCTATGTTGGCCCTGCGGCAAGCGGGCCGGCGGGAGGCGGCGGCGAGGCAGGCTCAGCGGCATGGGCCCAAAACACAGCGCACAGCAGCGCGCACCCTGCTTGCTGCCAAATCTGCATCCGCAGCGCCCTGTCAGCGCCCTGTCAGCGCCCTGTCAGCGCCACCTCACCTGAACTCGTCGCTGGGCAGCGCCAGCAGCGAGGTGTGGAACAGTGTGGCGGCCAGGAAGGAGGCGAGGTGGGAGGCCAGGCGTGGGTAGAGGCGGCCCTCAATCAGTCCCTTGCGCACGATGATGTGCGGCGGCGCAAGGTACTGCGGGCGAGCGAGGTGGGCAGTACAGGCAGGCGGGTGGGGCACGCAGGCAGGCACGGAGGGCGAGGCAGTGTGTGTGTGTGTGGCGCGGGCTTGCCGAAAGAAGGCCAGGCTGCGTGCCCAGCAGGCCGGGCAGGCCGGGCCAGTCTTCCGGCAACAGCGCCGCCGCCGCTTCCATTGCGCCCAGCGCACCTGCATAGCGATGATGCACATGCGTGGGTCGAACCAGTACAGGGCCGGCACGTGCTGCGGGCAGTGCGCCGCCTCCGCCTCGAGCGCCGCCGCCTCGATCCGCACGCGGTCCTGCAGGGCGGCGGTGGCGGCGCAGGTTGGCACAGGCGTGTTTGAAACGCCGCCTCCCTGCTGTCAACCACCCCAGAGCAGCTCAGGCCAGGCATGCATGCATGCATGCATGCAGGCAGGCAGGCAGGCAGGTAGGCCCATCACCAACTTCCACATTCCCCTGGCAGGCACCCCTCTCCCCTTCCCCCCAACTGCCACGCCCGCAACCCACCCACTCCTCCCACCACCACCACCACCACGCCTCCTTCCGCCACCCCTCCCACCTGCGTCAGCGGCCACGACTCGCCCACGACGCGCACAAAGGGCGGCGCCTGCTTGACGCACAGCGAGCCCGCCGGCCCCTCCACGACGTACACAAAGTTGAGGTTGCCGTCCCCCACCTCACGCACTGCGGGGCCGCGGGGGTGGGCGTGTGCATGCGTGTGGGCATGTGTATGCTGTGAGGGGGTGACGGCAGGATGCGTCACACGGCGGGGGTGATGCACGTGCGTATGCAGCAGCTCACCCTGCCAGCTGTTCTTGGTGTCGGGCCTGCCCACGTGCTTGGCCAGCTGCGGCCGCGCCGCCACATACTCCACCACCGTGCCGCAATCGAGCGCCTGGTAGCCGGGCTGCGTGGCCAGCGGCCTGGCCGGCGGCGCGGCGGCGCCTGAAACGCCGCCGTTGGCTGCCGCGCCGCCGACGCCGTTGGCCGCGGCGGCGGCCGCCAGCCAGCTGCGTACCGCAAAGCCGCCGCTGGCGGCGAGCGCCCGCGGCACCAGCCCTCTCTCCGTGATGAGGCCTTCAATCAGCTCCGCTGGCGTCACGTCAAAGCTGGGGTTCCACACAGGGATGTCCGCCGCCACCCGCTGCCCCTTGAAATGCGTGACCTGCGGGGCCGGGCAGGCAGGAGGTGAGCGGGAGGCCGCCCAGGCAGCAGATGGCAGGCAGGCAAGAGGCCAGGCAGGCAGGCAGGCAGGCAGGCAGGCGCACGCACGCCACACACGGCGGTACGCGGCTGTACCGCGCGCACGGCAGCACGCAGCAGCTGCCGCGCACCTCCTCGGGGGACCGCTCCTCAATGGGGATGAGGCTGCCGGTGTCCAGCTGGGGGTCTAGTGTGGTGGTGGGTGCCGCCACAAAGAAGGGGATGCCGTGGTGGCGGGCCGCCACCGCGTGGCAGTAGGTGCCAATCTTGTTGGCTGCACGGCGGCGGCAGCGGCGCAGGCGCGGGCACGGCAGGCAGGGGTGGGTCCACGCCGGCAGGCAGCCCATCCCGAGGGCTGGCTGCGGCGGCGCGAACGTGCAGGCACACCCGAGGCCAGGCGCGGGACCGTGCCGCCGTGCAGCCTCTGGCCGCCAGCTTCCACACGCCCGGTCAGCACGCGGCCGCACCCGTGTCCCCGTTGGCGGCGATGCGGTCCGCGCCCACCACCACGGCATCCACCCTGCCCGACGCCATCAGCGCCGCCGCAGCCGAGTCACAGATGAGAGTACTGGGCAAGCCGTCATGCACCAGCTCATACGCAGTCAGCCGCGCGCCCTGCACACACGCACACACACACATGCGGGCGGGCGGGGTGGGGAGGGAGAGGCGGGCCACGGCCAGCGGCAAGGGATGAGCGAGAATGACGCTGCTGCTCAGGCAGGCGCAGGCAGGCGCCGCAGGGACAGCACGCACGCTGCCTTTGCCTGTGTTGCCAGCCGGCCGGCGCCACCTCGCCGCTGCCCAACCCGCCCAGCGCCCGGCACGGGCCCCTCCTGCCCACCTGGTTGTATGGCCGGGTCTCGCAGCAGTATGCATGCTCCAGGCGCCCCTGCTCGTGCAGGGCGCGGATCACGCCCAGGGCTGTGCCGTAGGCGGCGGTGGCCAGGCTGCCGGTGTTGCAGTGCGTCAGCACGCGCAGGCGGCCGCTGCCGGCGCGGCCGCGCTCCTGGGCTGCCGCCAGCAGGGCGTCGGCGCCGTGGCGCCCCATCGCCTGCAGCGGCACGGCAAGGGCAGGCACCCAGGGACGGCGTGGCGCCGCGCGTGCTGGACGCTCCCCTGCTGCCCGCAGCCTCAGCCCGCAGGCCTGCCGGCAGCGCGACGGACCAGCTGCTCGGTGCATGCAGGCTGCCAGCTGCCAGCTTCTCCCACCTTGTTTGCCGCAACATCCTCAGCCATCATGGCTTGGCACGCCGCCACCACAGCCGCCGTCACGCTGGCGGCGGTGGCCCCCGCCCGGCCCGCCTCCTCGCCCGCCAGCCTCTTGAGCGCCTCTGCCGCGATGCTCAGGTTGACGGCGGTGGGCCGGCTGCAGGGAGAGGTGGGCAGGCAGCAGGCGGCGGGTTGGTGGTTGACGGGCTGGCGGTGGATAGGGGCCAGCCTGGCGAGAGGCGCGGTATGAGCGGTATGAGCGAGGTGGCGGGCCGCCGCTGCTACTGCAGGCACTGCTACGCCCTGAACGCTACACCCTGAATGCTACACTTGGCAAGGCCCCGCACCTGGTGACCAAAAAGTCCATCTGCTGCGCGACGTAGGCTGCGGCGGCGGCGGGGCCCTGAAACTGGCTGCCGCCGCCGCTGTTGATCAGGTCGACCGCCAGGCTCAGCGCGGCGGCAATGGCTGCGGCGGCAAAGAAGATTGGGTATGGTGACTGTGAGCAGGCCAGCAGCAGCAGCCGAACTGGCGGGCGTGCCAGCAAGCAGCAGCTGGCGGCAGGCGGCTGGCGGCGCACCGATCGCCGGCGCGCCGCGCACTGTCATATCGCGGATGGCGGTCCAGGCGGACTGGGGCCCATCGATGTCCAGCCACTCCGTCTCCAGCGGCAATTTTCTCTGCTCCAGCAGCTGCAGGGAGGCCGGCGCCAGGCCGCCGCCACGGCTGAACCTGATGGCTTCTAGGGCCATGGCTGCCCGAATTCCTGGGACCGGGCCTGTCTGACAAAGGAGGAGTCTGTCATCCAATGAGTAGCTGGCATAATGGTCCAGCTGGCCAACGTGATTATCCTTCGACCTGGCGGCTGGGCCTCTTCCAACCTCTCTCTCCATCGCATTTCCAACCCCTCCAAGACCCCTGCAGCTCTGATCCACGCATCCACACCCTCCCACGCTCTTCTAGGTCCACGCTCCTAGGTCGCCGCGTCTCGGCCCATGCGCCTCGCCGCCGCCCTCCACTCACCCGGATCTCGCCTGCAGCCGCGTGCAAGTGCCGCGGTGGGCCGCGGGGCGCGCGGGAGCTGTCTGGCTGCGACCTTTGGCAGGTCGGAAGCCGCCACCGCCCCAGCCCTGGAGCAGGGCCTCGCGGAGAGCAGCAACATCGTCTCGGTGCCCAATGGAATGGACCTGGCGCTCAGCGAGGGCCAGCGCAGGTGCGGCAGGCGGGTGTGTGGCGCCGCTACGGCGGGGGCGTGAAAGCCGGGGGGCGTACCCTAGCCCGCCAGATTGCGCGCGCCGCGGCCGCCTGCCCACCCTCTCCTGCCTTCCGCCTTTCTCCGTGCAGGAAGCTGGAGCTGCAGGCGCAGGCGGCGGCTGCGCTAGCGGCGGAGAACTCGTGGTGGCAGGACACTGCTGACTCACCGCCCAACCTGGTCACCGCCCACACGCCAGCCGACTACAAGCGGCTGATCGTGGAGGCGCCGCCCAGCCAGCTGGTGGTGGTAGACTACCTCAAGCCCTCCTGCATGGGCTGCCGCCGCATCTTCCCCAAGCTGAAGCAGCTGGCGGCCAGCAACCCCGACGCCCTCTTCATCAAGGTGGGCGCCTCTGCCCGGGCTGGCAGCTGGGGCCCCACGCAGCTGGCGGCTGCAGGCCGGGGGTGTGCGCTGCGCGCATTCCCTCGTCGCTCCAGCCTTCTCCCTGCACGCCCCGCTCCCCCGTTCCCACCACACGCCACCCCGCGCCCGCCTGCCGCAGGTCAACGTGGAGAGTGAGGAGATGCGGGAGCTGGGCCAGGGCATGCAGGTCACGCACCTGCCCTGGTTCCACCTGTTCCGCGGCGGCGACCTGGTGGCCTCCTTGACCGCCAACCTGGCCACCGTCAGCCAGCTGCGCGCCGAGATCGCCACCAACAAGCCCTGCTGCGACCCGGGCTGCTCCGTGTACTGACCCGCCCCCGCACAGCGCCCCCTCGCGCCGCACCCTGCCTGTTGGGAGGCTGCCGCCGCGCCCTCTGCAGCGCGCCCTGCGCGGCGCCCCCTCCCTTGGCCTGGGCATGGGTTTTGACCCCGCTGACCTCACCCCACCCACAGCCCAGCCCGCTGCTGCCCCTCCTGTTGCCTCACTCCACTTCACTGCTATGATGCTAAACCTTCACCACCCTGAGAACCAATTTTGTTCTGCCCACCTGTTCTGGCGCAGG